CCGTAACTGGAAAACTTACCCCCGAAGACGTTACCGTTCTCATGAACCGTTACATGGAGTCCACCATCAAACCATGGGTGCAACAAGCATTCACCGCTTGGGCACAGGACTCCAAACCAACCCCAGCGGTTCATAGTGAACAGAGCCACCCCAAACCTCACTCTTCACCCTCTCAATCCATTCCACAACCCACTCCTGTCATCCCTCTCCCATCCACCACACCATTTAGCCCTTCACTCTCTCGGGGAACCCACGATACGGAACTGGTATCGCCCTCTGCCTCGACCAATCCCTTCCACCTATCCCGCCTTGAGCTTGCCGATCTCCTGTTTCTTCGGTTGCTGGAGGTCGACACTTGCCACCTTTCACCCTTCGAACGCGACCTTCTCCAAATTTTCTTCAAACACGACCGCCCTCAGTACGGCACTTGCCGTGACAGTCCCCGAGGTCTCAAACGTTCCCATGAGGATCCCGATGATTCGGAACCTCATGAGGGGGAGAACAAGAGGCCTCGGACACTTGAGCAAGCAGCCTCTACCAGCCATGAACCCCAGCCAAACACCTCATCAAACCAGCCCACCAACCAACCACCACCTTCCTCAAGCCACAATCAAGCCCAACTCTCTAGCCTGGTCGAGCTAGACGAAACATCCCGAGGCTTATCTCCTAGAGATACTGTCCGAGGAGGGGATGGAAGTCCTGTAGTGGTTACCTCTGGTACATCACAAAGCTCAGGCCATCGATCAGAACACAGTTCGAAATCGATGACAACATCCCGAGGCGTGTCTCCAAAGGATACCGTTCGAGGAGGGGATGGAAGTCCTGACAATGCTATATCTGACTCATCTGTCAAGTCAGGCCATCAGCCAGAACTCAGTTCTAACCTGATGACAACGGGCAATCCTAGTGAACCCGGTTGTGACTCACGAGAAAAATCACCACAGCTGAGAGTCCCCTACATTCCCCAAGGCAAAGATATTCACGATGCACTCGAGGATGCTGTGGTACATGACGTTTGGCCGAGAAAATGGACAGAGTGGGATGATCTTAGATGCGAAGCCGAGTCAGAGGATATGCAGCGAAATTGGTGGCTGAGAGAGTTACTGGCCAAATGTGCAGAAGACATCATACGTCTTGATGAAGAGGAACTCAAGGAAGGGGAGGACTACAAAAAGATACCCAGGGAGCTAGAATCCGTCATCAGACAAACGGCAAGCAAGTTGCCCCCAAAAGAAAAACTCTGGGAAAACATCAGAATAAATGCCCCCTTCCAAGAGGAAATCAGAAAGGGAATTCGGAGAACCGCAGACAAGCTCAAACAGCTAGATGAACTAAAGATCCGTGGTTTGACTCACCTCAAAGGAAAAATGGCTGGCGGACATCTTCACATGTTGATGCACAGATCATCTGGAAAGCAACGTCAAGTACTGGAAAGAGATATGAAGTCCAGCATCCATCCTATTGACGCTATCCTTGATATACACAGAGAAGATCATCACACCATCCCGTTCTACAGCTTCAAAGTTCGACGGACAGACTCCAGCATATTCATCTGCCAGGAAAACGACTTTATAATGATGAAAATGGAGGATATCTACCAAATGTTCATGGTAAGTAGGTACCTCCCACTGAGTCGAAACAGGACACACGAAGAAGGCTATGAGGCGATCAAACGGTTTATGCTGAGACAGATCAGATTTTATGCTGCCCATGATCTACAGATGGCCCTGGAAAACAATGTCCGAAAAGCAAATCTGGTAAAGCCAACTCTGAACGGTCCGGAGCTCAAAAAGTACAGACCTTATCACATCTTCAAGGACCCAGTCTCCATCATATATCTCAATCACGAGGAACAGAAAAGACTCATGTGGGTAGAAGACATTCACAAATATTGTGATGGGACTCTAAAGATCATTCAGACCAAGCTACAAGAGATCAAAGAAAATATAGATCCAAGACTTGCGGACGCCAGCGAGGAAGAGCTCCATGTATACGAGAAGGTGTGGACCATACTAAAACCCATCAACGAGCAACTTGAAAAGAGAAGAATGCTAAAACAGTATGAGCATGCGCTAAACTTCAGAAATCATTACTTCAGATCTCAAAAATAAATGCAAGACGTCACTTGATCACAAAGGGGGAGATTGTTGAAGACTATTTATTGTGAATCAAGTTTGTCTGTCTTGTCTGTAATAAGTTAGATGTTTACTATTTCTATTCTGTACTGATTAAATATATCTGTTAGAATAGTATACAATATGGGCCAAGTGTTAGGCCCATACTCAGGCAAGAAGCCTTTGTACGCATACCTGAGCCTCGCCTATAAAAGAGGGAGGAGGACTCAGGTTTGCGGTTAACTTTCGTATCTGCTCAAAATAGCCTTAGCGCTTATCATTCTTGTACGAAAGATTCACGGTATATCAGAGAAGGTTTACACTTGATCTTTCTGTGTTCATCCTTATTGTTAATCTTTCATCTGTATGCCATATTATACTGTTGTTATAGAAAACAGGGACTAACAGGCATGGTACCGAATGGTTCTATCCTTGAAACCGGACCGTACCGGACCGTTAAAAGCCTAGCGGATACATTACGGGTGTTACTAGTTTACCGGACCGTTCCGGACCGCGCTCACCCCTATGTAAATGTAATTATCCAATTTAGTAAATGTAATTATCCGATCTAGTAACTGTAATTAATCGGATCTAGTAACTATAACTGATCAAATCGAGTAATTGGAACTAATCGGATCGAGTAATTGGTGTGGTTAGGGAAGTGTAATTGATCGGATTAAGTAACTATAACTCAACGGGTAACTGGTTTGATCAGGTAATTATAACTGGTCGGACAACTAATCGGGTCAGGCAACTATACTTGAAGCGGTATTAATTGGGATAGTGGTCACTCAAGCGGTAGTAATTAAGACGGTGGTCACTGGATCGGTAGTAACTGAGATGGTGGTCATTGAAGGGAAAGTAATCTAGATGGTAGTCATTACAACACCAGTAACTGGGACATTTTTTTAGGGAAAAAGAACAAATATACCTCTGTTCTATTTTTCAAAACAAATATATACCTGAAATATATATTGAAGTGCATATCTAACTCTGAACTTTTGAAATGTGCAAAAATATCCTTCGTGTTCTTATAAAGGGACAAATTTACCTTTATTGACTTTAAATAGATAAAATAAATTTCAAACAACACCAGAAATAAATTAAAAACTCATAATTTAAAAATAAAGATTTAGTATTATGTTAAAATATTAACTCTTTAATTTTAACCAAAAAATTATTATTTTTCCGTTGTAAATGAAGCACTTCAAATTCACAAATATCAATTTTATTCTTGTTGTGTAATTTGACAACCTTGTTACATTTTTTCAAAATTACATTCTTTGATTTTGTTTAACCTTAATAAAACTAAATTCACAGTTTTGTAATCTTTTGATATATATCATCATACAAAATACGGAGTATGTAATTTTATAGTGCAAAGAATGCAAAAAACTATTTTTTTTTACATTGCAACACATATGTTAACATTTTTTCGAAAGAAGATCAAATACACAGTAAAGTTTTGAAATAATGTCTTATACTAACAATATTAAATTGTGATATAAAACAATAAAAGGAAGAATTGAACACAATTACACTTTTAAATTTTTTTAATTTTTGAATTTTGAATTTAAAATTTATTTTTAGGTGTTTTTTGAAATTTATTTTATCAATTTAAAGTCAATAACGATAAATTTGCTCCTTTATAAGAACATGGTTAATACCTTTGCACTTTTTAAAAGTTCAGGGGTATATATGAATTTCAACATATATTCCAGGGATGTATTCGATCCGAAAAACAGAACGAGAGTATATTTGTACCCACACCCATACTATATCAGTATATTTGTACCTTTCCCTTTTTTTACAACTTAGAGAGTTTTAGTCCAATGATTTAAATATTTGCTCTAAGATATATGTATTGTAATATTAAAATCAAAAGAAAAATCAAAGGTTAGATTGTTAAAGTGTGCAACGTTAGCTTAAAGCTTAAAGCAATAAAGTATACGTAGTGGGTCATTGGTGCAAGATTGCAATGTCACAGAACAAATGCCCGTTTGCAAAAACTTAAAAAAATACGTTTTTGGGTTTTTGACTTAAAAACGTTAAAATTAGTGTTTTCAAGTGACAACTTCTGATTAAAATAGCGCTTCTCGACTTTTGCGTTAATAATGGTTTTTTATTTTTTCTATTACAGAGAAAACACATATTTTACCAAACATTGCAAACTTTTACTTTTCAAAATAACTTTTGTCAAACACTATCAACTTTTACTATTAATCATTTTTTCCAAAATCACTTCAAAAATTGTGTTTTTTTAAAGCAAAAACATTTGCAAACACTCCTTAAGACATGTGAGTGTACTGTTGACTGTTGAACATGAAGAGTAATTTAGAGAAGTAGGAGCTTATTAGTCACATTTTTAAAGTTAAAAAATGATGTCTATTTTTTGTCCAATACATAAGTAATACTTCATCCGTCTCTTTTTAGTTGCAACAGTCAACATTTCACGTTTGCCAACGCACAACTTTGATCGTCATTATATTTAATTCTGTATTAGTAAAAATAAAATAAAAATCAGATTATAAAACTTAGTAATGAGACGAATTTAACAACATGTTTCAAAAAAAATAATTCACATACATTAATAAATAAAATGTAGTTAAAATAAAGTACATCAATAGTGTATATATTCCAATGTTGCAATTAATGAAATACGGAGGATAGTACATAGTATTCAACAATGATTAATAATATATCAACCCTTATATACTTATACCCACCAATATTTGCGAAAGTTTGTTTTGTCTGTGAATTTGGTTCACAAACACAATATGTGTTATTTTGTTTGTGCAAATTTTGCGTAAACAAAATATTGTGTGTGAACGGAATTCAAAAATAAAAAAATCTTCACAGATGAGTGTGTATAAAAGTAGTTATAAGAGTGGCCAAGCATCAAAACCCAGTTTTGAGTAACATTAATGTCAAAACCCTGAAATCAAATTGTGCACAAAAATATACGGTTTCTGCTTCAATCTGAATTGTGAGGATCGGGTTTGCCAGCATCCTGCAATTGGTTTTAGCGGTGACTTAATAGCCACACTTGTAGCTTGACGATGCCATGGTGCTCTTAATCTCTTGAGTTGAGCGAGTGTTTACACTTCGCAGCTTACAGTCTGATGGCTGTACAATTATCTTGTGTCTGGATCAACGGTCCTGCTTCGCCATTCACGGGCGGTCGTTACCTTCACTGCCGGAGAAGCTCCTCTCCCTCAGCTCTCTCTGCGGCTGTGTGTGCTTCTTTTCCTTCGTCTTCTATCCAGGTAAGACACCCCGTTTCGAGATATATACGCTCACTGTAGCTCATTCGAAGCAGCGAGACCGCACACATACATATACTGTTTTGTTCGCAGATTTCTGGATTACCATTGATAACCTGTAACTTTCAAAGCAAAAATTTGATAATTCGTTTGGGAGATCTGCAATAGAAATTGAAAATCATTCACTTCTTAGCAAAATTTAGTTTCAATTTTCCGAAAGTTTTAATGTTTCTGGGGGGAGGGGGTATATAGATTTTTATGTCCCCGGAGCCATCTGAAAAAGATTGCATTCGTTCTTACTGTTTGGAGGACAAGATTGAAATTTTGAAACTACACATTATTCAGTACAGCCTTTCTGAAAACTCATAGAGTAGCCCCTATTTGATTTACTGCTCGGATTTTGAGCATTGTTTTGTGCTGAATTTTGCAGATTGTTGGTGGAAAAACAAATGGAGTTCTTTTAAATGAGAGCGCAAAATTTTGCTCTACTTCAGAGGGATGCCAAAAAAAGTATGATTGGAATGATATGGAGACCGAACTCTATTACTGGACAAAGCAATTAAGACCAGTTCAGGTATGTATTTAGGCTCTTGATTTCATTCGTTCCCTTTCTAAGAATGGAAGATTGTGGTTTGTGGTTATTAGTTTGTTGCTTGGTAATTTTGAAGAAACATACAGATATATCTGTACATTGTTAAGCTGTTTTAAGAAAAACTGAAAAGGGATTATCTTTATTTATTTCTTACACAAACCGAGGCTTCTATATATATAGTGGTATCCTGGTCATATTGCAAGAACTGAGAAAGAGCTCAAGGAACAGCTGAAACTGATGGATGTTGTTATAGAGGTTCGAGATGCAAGAATTCCATTGTCAACAAGCCATCCACAGGTTAATTTGTCGTTTTGGATCATTTTCATATACCATTCTCCATCTATTGACAAGATATTTTTGAGCAGATGGATTCATGGGTCGCTAATAAAAAGCGCATTTTAGTTCTCAACCGGGAGGACATGGTATCCAAGGCTGATCGGAATGCTTGGGCTGCTTATTTCACAAGTCAAGGAATAAAAGTCGTGTTCTCCAACGGTCAACTTGGAGTGGTAGGTATAATACCTTAATGACTTGTACGGGCTAGACCCCGTACCCTTCTAATTAGGATGTTTTTACTTGGACTGTAATTTGCTGGTCAGGTCTGGTTTGTTTAAGTCTGGTGTGGTCTGTTTCAGTGTTGTCAATCCCGGATAGCGGAGCGTAGCGGCGAGCCCTAAAAATGCTATAGCGGTATAGCGGATAGCGGGATGACCGCTATTTAGACTACTTTCAATATAATAGATAAGTAACTACGGGAAGCATATACTCCATATAATACATTACATACACATTTTGAATTCAAAAAGTATGATCATAGTAGTCGATGGCGCAATATGGCGCGCGCGCCATGCGCCATGTGGCGCGAAAAACCCTCTGCGCTATGAAAAGGGGCTGTGGCGAGGTGTATACACATGGCGTCGCCATTCCTGCGCCTTCGCCATTCCTGCGCCTTCGCCATGGCGATGCGAATGTTTTTTTGACAAAATGGGTCCACGCAAGGTTGTCAAGATCGCAGCTTGGATCGGAAATTGCAGCCAGATCGCCGGATCGACGAGTTCACTCGTTAGATCGCGGAATCGTTGATCTCCTTCGATCTGCGTCGTTCGTGTCTGTAGGGAAAGAATACGACGCACAGAGTCGGAATTCCGAAACGAGGCTATGGTCGGAAATCGGAAATGACGTAGACTGAAAGAAGCGACTCAAGTTTAAAAAAAAACAATGACCTGCGAAGATCCAACTCCCCAAGGCGACGCCTTCTTCAGTGTCGCAGTGTGGCCTTCTTCATTCGTATTCTTTAACGCTTGTTTTGTTCTTCTTAGAAAACGTTTTTTCCTTTCTCCGTTACATCTCTCCATTACATCTTCTAGGACTTAAGATATTTATTTACAAGCTGGATACAATCCTTTTTCCATATTTGTATTTTTTGTTTTGCGGATTATTTTATACCATTGAAAAATGACATTATGATTAATATTTGAAATTTTTTAAGTTTAAATATATATCTACACACATATATTAAATATGTATCTAAATGCATACATACATACATATATATGATAGTTTTGTTTCTATGATAGTTTCGCAGTATCTATTATTCGTTTTGAAGGTTTAATTTTTTTTTTGTCACGTGGCGACGCCATATTTGCGCCATCGCCATGGAAAATGGCCTGTGCGCCATGGGTTGCGCCATGCGCCATGACAACTATGAGTATGATATATGCCAATGAAGGTTGAAAACATCACATTCATAAATCCTAAATTACTTAAAAATACTCTTTAGTTTCATGAGCAAAACACAAGATGCTATTAAAAATTAAAACATCTCAAGTCAAAACATTGAGTCAAAAGCAAGTATCTAGTGTAAGAGTTTAAGCCTTGATAAATTAAAAGTCAAAAAAGAGAGTAGACTGACTAGACTCTATATGAGAAGAAGAAGAAAAGAAGACCGCAGGTCTGCAGCAAAGGTTGGGAAAGAAGATGTTGCAGCAGAAGGTAGTACGGTAGTACTACTGAAGGCAGAGGAGGGCAGCATGTGTCGTTCTTGGAGAAGAAGCCATCGCAGAGCAGCAGAAATAGAAGATCGTCCTTCTTGGAGAAGAAGTCATCGCAGAGGTTCTGAATATTTCAAAAGCTGGCTTCGTTTTGAGCTTTTAGAAGCCTTTAACGTACGTATAAGGTTTTAAGTAGGTTAATATTTTGTTTTAAAAGTCTAATTTACCCCTTCTATGTCTGCCCTAAAAAATTAAACGCTAAAAACCATCCCAGAGTGCGCAGTAACCTCTTTAATATAAAACGCACCGCTTTAGCGGCCGCAAAAGGCTTCTCCGCACCACTGCGATAGCGGGCGCTATGGCCGCTACACCCAAACGCCACGCTAGAGCCCTCCATGTAGCGGCTTCCATGTCTGCCGCACCGCTATAGCGCGCTACAGCGCCGCTATTGACATCACTGGTATGTTTAATTCTGGTGTGGTTTGATCTGGTCTGAACTAGTTTGGTCTGGTAAACGTCCGGTCTTTGTGTATTTTATAACTACGGAAGTCAAATCTGTTTTGGTCTGGTCTGTTTAAGTCTGGTCTGGTCTTTTTAAATCTGGTCTGATTTGTTTAAGTCTGGTCTGGTCTGGGACTGAAAACAGTCCAAGTAAAAACATCCTTAAAGTCAGAAGCTTAACAAATAAAGAATATGAATATACTTTTTATTGAGAAGAAAGGAAGACTGCACTTTCGTCCATTATCCTTAAAATTTGTGTCTGATATAGTAATATATATGGAAGAGGGAGAATAATGCCTTTATTGAGCATTTTGGGAGAGGTACAATAGTGCCTTCATTCATTTTGCTAAATGCTAATTACTGGACCATTGGACGGAGTTAGATGTTTTTGGTTCTGAACTGCAGGGCACCATGAAACTATGTCGCCTAGCAAAAACATTAGCTGATAGTGTGAACCTAAAGCGCCGGGCGAAAGGGTTACTTCCCCGTCCAGTAAGTTCATTCTTTACTTTTAAATTCATACACTTCAACACCTCCTCTCAATAATTGATTCAGCTTTGAAGCTTGGTTATAGTAGTGGCTATTTACTTAGTTGCATTGAATTACTAAATAATGGTAATAATAAAACTTACAGCAAAAATACGGATTTCATCTTAATTGATGCTCATAGGTTCGGGCAGGAATCGTGGGGTATCCAAATGTTGGTAAATCATCTTTAATCAATCGTTTACTGAAGCGCAGGATGTGTCCTGCAGCTCCAAGACCTGGTGTTACTCGAGAACTTAAGTATGCCCCATCATGTATTTTATACTCTGATTTTTTAAGAGAATGAAACTCATTTAACATTTTTTTGCATTTTGCAAAATTATTAATACAAGGTATGCAATAGCGTATGAGTTAGAAACTGGTTTTCAACTTGTAAGCTGTTATACTTTTTTATAAATTGAAATTTGAGTAACACTCCCTCTACCCCATAGAGACAAGTATGATGCATTTTGGATTTGCACACTTTTTTAGGAATTAAGGTGATGTTGGTAGTTTACAAGTGTACCCTTTAGGATAAAGAAGAAAATAAAAGCTGAGCTTACCAAATAAAGGGTTAAGGTGGAAGATGAAAGAGTAAATTACAAAAAGTAAAAGGTTATTGGTTTCCAAATTAGGGAAGTGAAGATTATTCTGTATTGACTAAAAAAGGGAAGTAGATCCTACGAAATTTAACACAGGGACTCAGGGAGTACTTGATAATTTCCTCTTAATGAGTATAATCTGCTAAGCTATTAACATAAGTGCACAAAACTGGTAAAATAAGAAACTATTGTGTATCTTGGGCTAGAGGAGGTATGATTGTAGGCATGTGGAGAACAATGTAACTGGTGCTTGGATTTAACATTACAAAATTATGAGCATTTGTACTAAGATGCCAGACAAAATTTATCTTCTATTTGAAGTTTCCTAATGTGGAGAAAAAATTTGTGGTATGAAAATACTCAAAATTCAAAAAATTTTAAAAGGCCTAACATTGGGGATTTCTCAATAGGTAACTGCTTAATTTTGGTAAGGTATAACTGTCTTAAATTATGAATCCTACTTTAAATTTTTAAATTAACTTTCTTTCTTTCTTCAATTGTTTTTGATAAATTACATAAAAGTTAGTGTCATTTGATCTAACTATTCTTTGGGACGGAAGGAATACTTCTATTCTCCATGGCATCCAAATGAAATCTAACTATTATGTCTTCGTTCTCAGTTCTCACGCCTTGACAAATCTCCTCTGTGAACAGGTGGGTCCGTTTTGGGAAAGATCTAGAGTTACTGGATTCTCCTGGGATAATTCCAATGAGAATTACTGACCATACATCGGCAATAAAGCTTGCCATATGCGATGATATTGGGGAACGATCCTATGATGTAGTAGATGTTGCTGCTATTCTAGTACAAATGTTGTCAAGCCATCCTACTTTAGGTGTGCTTCTTTTCCTTTTTGAGTTATATTCATTTTGCATAATATAGCTACATATTTGTTAATGTGAACTATTAGGAATTTATCACATATAAACTGGTTTATTTATGATAAAGTTTGGAACATCGTATTTATGAGGCTAATTTCAAATGGAAGAATAAGTAGTGGTATTGATGCGTTTTAGTACCCCACCTATTAGAGGAAGCAAACTAGCACACTAAGTATATTTAAGTGTCTTTAACTTAATCTGATAGTACCATTTGAAATTAAGGCCAAAATCATCCGGCATAACATTAAATTTCTCATACATTCCCCAAAAATTATATGTAATTAATTAATTAATTAATCAACTTATAAACTCACATTCGGAGTATTAACTATTATCAAACTCAGATCGAGATTAGTTGTAGCCCAGTCATTGCAATAGATCAGAGTTGCATTCACAATGATGACCTCATCAACTCAGAAAAATTTTGAAGTACACATTTTGAATTCACATGGAACCAAGGTATCAGACTATCAGGTCTAACTGGAAATTCAAATGGCAGTATCATGATAGAACTGAATGCATTTAAGGTATTTGTTTGCTTCATACCATAGTTCAGACATTAAATTGCATTAAAATTAATAGTTGTTGTACCATTTATACATTTACCGTTTATTTATGATCATTCAATATGATAAAAAAGTTCAGATTAAATATCTCGCCTGATGCATTATTGTTTGGCGCAGAGCATGGTTAAGTCACTCTATATCGTGTAAATAAAAAGGTACACACCAACATATGATGTGTCAGGTTTGTTGAGTTAACGTTTTACGATGGATGTCATAAACAATCACATGAACGGTAAAATTGATCTCTTCTAAGTTCTAACACACATATATAGCTATTCCCATGTTGTATAGGTAATAGGTTGACCTTTTAGAGGATGCATACCCGAGTCCTAATACAAGAAATAGCATAAGTTTGCTATTTAAAAACAAGTCCTAATTCAATCCATTTTTAAATATTTTTGGCATCTTTTACATTTCTTATCGTAGGTAACAAAGTTAGTGACCGCTACAAAATGGAGATTGATGGTCACTGTGGTAAACTGTAAGCTTTCTTTTCTTTTGGGCATTTAGAAACAGTGGAACTGTCTGGGCATAATCACACAGGCGGCACCGTTTTTCTCATCCTCTATCCCAGCTAAGAGTAGTGCAATATGGCTGTTTTTTGGTTTGCAGATTCGTGCAGGAACTTGCGGTTCAATTATTCAATGGAGACAAGCACCAAGCCTCATTCCGTATATTGTCAGATTTCAGAAAGGGGAAGTTCGGGTGGGTATCCCTAGAGAGACCACCACGGTAGGAATGTGATGGTGCCTTAGTTCAATGCTAAAATGTGATGGTATCCCTAAAGGTACCCATTTTGGGGTACCCCATTTTACCCCCAATGTGTGGCCACAAATGGGGCAACACATTTAAGTGGGACAACACTTTTATGTGTGGTAAAAATGGGGTATCCAAAATGGGGTACCTTTAGCATTTCTCTAATTTATAATCCATAATTTTTTGTATATAAGTAATAGAACCTATTTTGTACGGCAAGATTTTGCAAGAGGGTTGGTTTATGTAGATTGTAGACTACCAACGGGTGAAGATTTGCTAGTTTTATGTCTTAAAAATGTTTTCTTGTAGACTAGTATATTTATGCTACATATATTTAGCGTAAAAATTGACACGTGCATTTTTTGAAGAAAAATAAATCATCTTATTACTGAATTAAAGTATTCATCAACCGCAAATTATACCGTGTGATTGATATACCATGAGCATGGTATACCGGTAGGGATGAACTGGGCCGGGTTGGCCACTTGGACCGGCCCGGTCCCGACCTGGTCCTGCCATTGTTTAGACCCGGCCCGATCGGGCGGTACCGGGACCAGGATGGGCCCCGAATTGGGTATAGGAGAGGGCGGGCTACGGGTCTCGAAAATAGGTGACTGGCCGGTCCAGGCCCATTTTTTTAATTGTTCACAATTAATATTTAATAGGCTGCTAGGCGGGTAGGTGGGGGGTGGGGGTGGGGGGTAGGAATAAATTCGAAAAGCCATTTTTTAAAAACAATAAAATTTGTTCGGCTTGGCTTGACCCTGGCTCGGTCCCGGACTCCCGGTAGAAACTCGGCCGATGCCGGGTCTGCAACCCAAAATCCTCGTATTGCCCAATCTTGGCCCGGCTCGAGATCCAGTTAAAAGAAATAACAAAGATCCACAATCTCTTGCCCTTGAATCACATCTGTCGTTAGGAATGGATCAGGATGGGTCGGCTCGGCTGGGGACTCGGTCCGGCCTGGCTCGGGACCCAGTATTGTGCAGGCTTGACCTGGCTCGGACGCTCGGTCAGGCGGTATCGGGAATGGGGGCCCGAACTGGCTATTTATGGGGCGGGCTATAGGCTTTGATTTTAGTGGATCGGGCCTAGGGATGGATCGGTTTCGTTCTGCCCGGCTTGGGAATCGGCTCGGCCCGGTTGCCCGGGACCAGGCTCGGGCCTAGGACCCGACCCGGGTGTGTTTTTGGAGCAGGTCGGGCTGCAAGTTTCTTTGGAACCGGTCCGGTCGGTCCGAGTTGTAGGCGGGTTGGGCTTGGTGTTTTGGAGGGGTGTAGGAATTAATTAGAAAAGCAAAACAAAACCCCCTATACCTGACCCAATCCTGTTAGAATCCCAGGCCTTAACCCCCAATACAAAAGTCCGACCTAGCTCGGCCTAGAAGTGGTCCATGCATAATCGGGCCTGTCCTGGGCCATTTTTTTGGCATTTGGTTGCTGCTTGGTGGGTTGGGTGGGTGTTTTGGCGGGGTTTGGGGGGTGGGGGTAGGAATAAATTTGAAATGACTGATTTAAAAAAAATGACCCGACTCGGGCTTGACCTGGCTCGGTCCCGGTTCAATCCTGGGTCGGTACCTAGCCTTCATCCCAAAACCCCAACCCCACCCAATCCCGGCCCGGGGCCTGACCTGACCCGGGCCCGATCCATGCCTATCCGCCGCCATCATCAGGAGTGTGCCGCTGCCCATGTGGACATTGTGTGGCTCAGATCTAGGAGAGAACGATTCGATTTCTGATACTTAAAAGTACTACTCCCTCCGCCCCGAAAAGGTTGACCAAAGTTGACTTTCACGTGAATTAATAAAGTAAAAACCGTGGTTGAAATTTGTGCAGAGAAGAGAGAATTAATTTTAGGCTTTTAGCCACATATTCTATACTTTAAATGGAAATGGTAAATCTTTTTGGGACATCCAAAAAAGGAAATTTGGCCAACCTTTTGGGGACGGAGGGAGTATGACAACAATTCGCCAACCAATAGGCTATCACCGGATGAATGGCTTTATGACTTCTTAGTGGAGTAGTATTGGCTATTTCACTGTTTTGAGCGTTTCGATAAAAATTTCAGAAAGTTACAATTCACATACATAAGAATTACATTTTGGTTTTGCTAAAGTTACATTTTGTAACACGCGATTTACATTTCAATTTTTCTCAATAAGTTACATCTCGCTTACATGTGATTTACATTTGTCATAATATGAGTTACACCACAAAACAATACGAGTTACACAACAAAATAAACCTCTGCTATTCAAACAAAAAATGTTTTTTTTTTTGAAAAATGATTTCTTTAGAATATTTTTTGGTTTTAATACTAAAAACAACACATTCACTATTTAGGTGAAGTAATTAAGCAATTAGACTCCATTTTTATTGTTTACATTGAAATCAATGTTTTAGACAAGTTACATTTCGGCTTGCCTGCAATAACATTTCTTATAAACGTGAGTTATATTTCTTTACACACGAGTTACATTCTTTTGCTATTAGGACAATGAAAAAACAAAACAAAAAAGTTATTGTTCATGCGTGAACACTAACACACTTATTTTGCGTGTGGGGGCAACATGCTTACCGCGGGTTGCTCCCACAGTATAACAACTGTTCATCAATCGTAGGAGTGGACTCGGGTCGGGCCAACCGGCCCGGAACCGGACTGGCCCGCTACTGTGCGGGCCCGGCCCGGCCCGGTGAACCGGTTCCGGGCTCGGTTCGGGCCACCCGGCCCGGTGGGATGGCGGTTCGGGCTCGGGCCTTCGAAAGGTGAACCGGCTCGGCCGGTTCGGGCCCGGTTCGGGCCAATATTTTTGTTTTTTTGAATTTTTTTTAAGTTTTTGGGTTGGGCTGGGTATTTTGGGCCATTTGAGGTGGTTAGGGTTGGTTTGGGGGTGAGGGGGAGGGTTGGGGGTTAACTAGGAAAAGCCAAAAAAAAAAAAAAAATAGAACCGAGGCCCGGCCCGGCCCGGACCCGGGGGTTACCCGGGCCGGTTCCGGGCCTCCACTTCATGAACCGGGCCCGAACCGGGCCCGAATCGGAACCGATCCATCCCTAATCAACCAGACAACACTTCCTAGAACCTGGTCAAAACTGTGACTACATTCTGGGCTAGAAGCGCATGCCTTTGCAATTGTATGGACTAGGGATGGACCGGGTCGGATCCGGGACCGAGCGGTCTTCAGGACTAAGGAATTCAGTCCTGGTACCGACCGGGTATGCTTTGGGACCGGGATCGGTCCAGGCCCAAATAGTATGGGGCTGGGTCGGTACCACCATTTTTTTTTTAAATTGCAGTTGGGCCAGGGCAAAAAAACCGAGCCTAGGACGAGCCTAAACACAACCGAACCGGGCCGTCCGGGCCCACTCCATCCCTAGTATGGATGACACAATTCGTAGAATGTTTATAAAATGAGTGTCTAAAAAAGATTTCGAATATCTCAAGTATGAGATCAATGTAGTGGATGAGTGGATCCCTCTTCTCGTTGAATCCCTTGAATCACCACAAGTCTCAATCTTCAGATAATCCCATCCCTCTCGCACCCCCATAGCTTTCGTCTCTGTCGGAGACCATCCCGCCCTTTTGCAGTCTCTGCGGCCTTTAGTAAAATTCCCCATCCCTTGCGACCTAGCTCCACAGATGGACCCCGTGTTACCACAGATGAGCTTCCTTCCATCTCTTCCAAGTAGCTTTTGTACAGTTCAAGACACCACTTCCTCTTTAATAGGAATCCTGCCTATTACTTCTTTGCATCATCTAGTGAGAAAATCAAAGCTTCATCCCAATTATTACCATTTCACTCCTAATACATACATACTGTTCCATACATCCAAATGGCTAGTGCCATTTGTTTTTTGCACAAAACTTAATAAAGTGGGATGAATTTCACAATTACCCTAAATAAGACTAAAAATGTTCTCCTATTCTAAAATAGGATTATCATGTTTTTATTCTTAAAATAGGACTAATTATTGTCACATCTGGGGCATGGCGTATAACGCCGTTAGAAAAATTAACTCCGATTTTCAAAAGTCTCCGAAAACTTAAAAGCAAAATACTCGGAGGTGCGCCTCGTCAAGGAGACCAACAAACTATCCTTGTCTTTGGATTTTTTTGGCTCTATTTGGATTATTTTTTAAAAACGAGTTCGCTTATATCACTCTTCTGTGGACTTTCAGAAAACAGTGACTGTAAACAAAATAGAAAGATGGTCTGGAGGTCTTTTTGATGAGACGCACCTCTTAGTATTTTTCTTTTAAGTTTTTGGAGACTTTTGAAAATCGGAGTTAATTTTTCTAACGGCGTTAGAGGTCATGCCCCAGCTGTGATAAAGGAATTGAAACACATGTCTCACTTTGTTAAAAAATGAAACACCTGCCCCTATCTAAAAAACGGCGTAAACCACAAGTATCTTTTATGTACTTTTCCCTATAATTTATTTCTAGTGGACCGCTACCTTATTGGCTCAATGCCCCAATCTTAAATCCTCACACAGAAAAACATTAGATTTGTTTCAATTGTGGCCCTCCCCAGAACATTATATATAGGGAAAAGGGGCAAAACCACCCCTGAAGTTGGCAGCAACGGATATCTCGCCCATAAACCTAATTTTTGAGCAAAAAGCTTTTATTAACTAGAAAAGAGGGCAAAACCCCCCTTTAACTAACAGAATCAAGTTAACAGAACATGCAACCCTTAATTTGGTGAGTTGGTCAATTCGCTTATATAGGGGCGCCGTATATAAAACAAATACGAGGTGTGTACTATGTTTAATACGGAGTATTATTGGTTTTAAATTTTAGCTTGTGCTATATTGAAGAAAAAAGGGATCCCAAGAAAAAACCCCGAAATATTTTGGTCCTCAAATCATCACATGTGCTCACCCCAAAAAATATTTATTTTAGTTTAATACTATGTATTATGTTGCAAGTTCTTATAGATGGTGCAACTTATATGAGTATTAGTGTTAGAATAATTTTTTTTACTTGTTTAAAAAATTGTTTTTTAAAAAGTCAGAACTGAATGAATCGTGTAATTTTTATGTCATACAATTTTTTGTATTTTGAATTGAGAAATTATCCTAAATATGACTAAACCTACACATAATTGCACAAATAGGAGTAAAATTTAAATCTTCCCTAAATAGGATTAAACATTAACTTTGTACTTTAATACTTAGGATGTTTTTACTTGGACTGAAATTTGCTGGTCTGGTTTGGTCTGGTCTATTTAAGTTTGGTCTGGTCTTGTCTGTTTAAGTCTGGTCTACTCTAGTCTTGTAAAAGTCTGATCTCTGTGTATTTTATAACGATAGAAGTCTGGTCTGGTTTGGTCTGGTCTGAACTGATCTGGTCTGAT